TCAGTTGTGCAGACATTTATTTGAACTCCCTAAATTAAAATATTCTAAATATGGTTGTGACTAATAGAAGTATTCAAGACCTTTTCCACCATTTTGTCATACTGTGGTGGCTTGCGTGTTGCTGTGATGCTGGAAGCTCTGCCACCAGTATTTCAAATACCAGCAGGATCACCCACGGTGGACAAGTTTCAGCAGAGCTTTCAGACTAAGACTAGGAAGAAAGATATGGCCATCACTTCCAAAAATCAGCCAATGGAAACCCTATGGATTACAACAGAACACTGTCTGGTATAGTGCTGGAAGATGAAGCCCCTAGGCTGGAAGGCAACAACAGACTCAGTCATGCTGGCGATGATGAGGATGAGTGAGACCCGGCAGTGTTTCATTCTGTTGTACATCGGGTCGCCATGAGTTGGAGTGGACCTGAAGGCAGCTAACAACAACAAGCCCTTTTCATCACCTCCTCTGGGTGAATCAATTATTGAGCACACCTGTATGAGTCCAAATAGACAGTCGATGCAGTTTTTCTTTGGGGGCCCCCCAGCTTCCCTTGATTGTCGCTGCCTTACCCCCCAGACTGGGAGTTCACTCCCATTCCTCCTCACCTTTCTCCCTTCTTCCCACCTGCCCAAGAATGTGAATCTCACTCTAAGCTTTATTAGAAATCTCACCATAAACTTTATTAGAAAACTTTCGATGCCTCATTTGCTATCAGAGCATCATCAATACAGCCGAACTTCTTAACCTGGGGCTCTTTTGGCTACAGGCGCAATAGTCAGGTGCTCGGCTGCTAACTGAAAGGTGGTCTGTTCCAACCCCCACAGTGGCTCCACAGGAGAAAGACCTGGTTATCTGCTTCTGTAAAGATTACAGCCTTGGAGACCCCACGGGGCAGTTCTGCTCTATCGCATGGGGTTGCTATGAGTTGAAATCAGCTTGACGGCACACAGCAACAGTAACACCAACAACATTTGGGTTATTTGGAATCCAGAAAGAAGGCAACAAAGAGCAAATTAGAGAAAACAAGGTGTTCGAGATGGAAAAATAGAGGAGCACTGAAGGGAGGCTTGTTTCAGATCCCCTTGAGGGACATTCACCAAGGAGCCATTACAGGAGCTCACGGGCGTTTGGAAGGACAGAGGAGCTTGCACCAGACAGAAAGACCTCAGAAAGACCTGGTGCATTCCGACGTGAAGGAATCAGTCTAAACATACAAATGAGCCCGACCGGCTCTAGGAATGAGTTGTAGTTCATGGCACAAACAGGTGAAGATGCAGCTAGATTCAAACAGAAAAAAAAAAAAGGGAAACTGAATCTAGAGCCAGATCATGACCCTCGACAGGGACACAGGAAGAAATGACCGAGGAGAGAAAGTTTAAATGGAGCGATTCAGGGAAACCCTTCATCGCGGCTTATTTCATAGCAGCATACCTCCATCGCCCATTGAAGAGGGGACTCTTGGGGCTTGGGGTCATTCTTGTTGTTAGCTGCCGTTGAGTCAGCTTCTACTCGTGGTGACCCTATGTATAACAACAAAACATTTCCTGGTCCCACGCCGTCCTCACAATCGTTGCTGTTTGAGTCCATTGAGGCAGGTACTGTGTCAGTCTATCTCGTGGAGGGTCTGCCTCTTTTACGCTGACCCTCTACTTTACCAGCCATGATGTCCTTTCCTAGTGACTGGTCCCTTCTGATAACTTGTCCAAAGTAAGGGGGATGAAGGCTCATCATCCTCACTTCTAAGGGGCATTCTAGCTGTACTTTCTCCAAGACAGATTTGTTTCTCCAGCAGTCCATGGCATATCCAGTATTCTTTGCCAACACTAGAATGCATTCTTCTTCACTTTTATATTGTCCTTGCTTTGTAATGAGTGTATATGGATTGCATTTTTAAACAGACAATAGGAATAAAAAGTTAATGTTAAAAAAGCAAGCCTTAATGAGCACGCACACGTGTTCTCATCTAGTCTTTCCTCATGTGCCCTGGTTTCTTCATAGAGCATCAGTTCAGATTGAAACAATTCTACCATCTACTCCTACAACTCATTGATCAGAAAGTCTGTCAGCACTTGTTCCAGGAAGAGACAGCAGGAGTTTGTCAGGTGCACATGATTCCTTCCCTCCCTGACTATGCTCCTATGGTACCGTGTACGTGGCTTCCATTTTGTAGTATAGTTTTCTGTAGACATGTCTTTTGTTATGTCCAGAGTCCGTCAAGTAGAAAACGCCCAGCTTCTAGCTCAGTGCCTGGTACTTAGGAAACCAGAAACCAGTTGCCATTGAGTCGATTCTGACTTATGGTGACCCCATGTGTGTCAGAGTAGAACTGTGCTGCATAGGGTTTTCAATGGTTGATTTTTCAGAAGTAGGTCACCAGGCTTTTTCTCGAGGCACTTCTGGGTAGACTTGAACCTCCAGCCTTTCGGTTAGTAGCCAAACATGTTAACCATTTGCACTGCCCAGTCACTGAATGTTTACAGAAGGAATGAATGAGTGAGGGAACGTGTCCTTACATCCTATTCTTTATTCTAATGGATTGTTGACAGTGCATTCCACTTCATTTGCTGAATATTCTGTTGTTTCAGTTTAATACCTGTCAGATTTCTGGGTGTCTGTCACTAATTTAAGCAGTATGTAGACCGGTTATTGAGTGCTGTGACTGAAGTTGGCATTTAACCATTGTTGATTCAATTTGGACTCTTTGCTACTAATTTGACAAAGTTGGACTTGATGGATAATGTATTGATGGATAATGTCAGCATTTCTGTGAAAAGCTATCTATTGTTTCCATTAATTGGTGATTTAATATTATTTAAATTATTTAATATCCTTCATAACTACATAAAAATGTCCTATTAAGACAAAGGCTATTTTTCCCCCGAAATGTCCTAACTTTGTTACTTTCGTTAGAGCATCCTTCAAGCATGGTGGATTCATGTTGATTACCAACTTAAATTCTGGGATTACGTGTATTTTTAGGCATTTCAGTGTATTATGAAGACAAGGTCATCAACATGAACATGGAAGAATCTGCAGTTACATCATATTTTACCTTAAAAAATTGCAACTAGTGTGAAATAAATGGAATTAAGTACAGTGGGATTTGTTTTAGGTTGTATGATCATTTTCACAAGTAAGTTAGAATGCTGTACTTTGACTTTGTTGTAGAGGAATCCCTTGGGAAAACTGGAAAAGGTGTGATTCAAACCCAGTCCCCTTTCCAAAGAAGACGGCCCACTCGGCTCCTGGAAATCGGGGCTCCCTTCTACCAGGACGACCAGCTGCAAGTCAAGGTCTACTGGAAGAAGACTGAAGGTGCGTAAATGTTCTTGGGGTGTGTTTGAAATTGCATGGTGACATGAAGGTACTTGTGAAAAAGGGCACATCAGGCCACAGCGCTGATGCTAAATAAAGCATCCCTAACAAAGCACTGAAATACCTCTTTTTAAAATGTCTTCTTGTTTTGATGTCTGAATGGGTCGATGTTGATTCTTGGGAGTTTCTAGGCCATTTTGAAATCAGCAGAAGAGTTCTTTATCTATTGAGCATATAAGTCATTTGTCAGTTTCATGAATGCAAGAATCTTCTCCCACTCTGAGCCACTCTCCCCTTTTTTCCTTTCTAAATGGCCCTTAATTTTAGAGAGGATCGATTCATCATTTCGTTTCGTCTACTGCTCTCGATGTCTTGTGTAAGAAATCTTTGCTCACACAAAGCTCACAAAGATACTCTTCTTTCTTATCTTCTGGAGGTATATGGGTTTACCTCTCCCTGTCTCTGACTGACTTTCACCCAGAGTTCAGTTTTGTGTATGGGCCAGTGTAGGGGTCAATGTTCTTTTATTTTTATCCCTAATGATTTCAAGTGACCCAGCATCATTTATTGAAAAGTCATCCCTTCCCCAAAGCTCTGAGTTTCCACTTTTGCCTCCACCTACTCAAATACATATATATGTATATTTGTATAGATATTACACATATAACATATATAAAAATACATATGTATGTGTGTATAGAGAGAGAGACAGAGGTTAATTTTCAAACTATCTATAGTGTCATTTGGCCATATTTCCACCTTTGTGCATATACCTCACTGTCCCAACTACTATAACTTTATAAATATTCTTGATATTAGTTTGTAAAAGTACTCCAATTTTTATCTTCTTCAAGATTGTCTGGGCTCTTCTTGATCCTTTATTTTTATATAAATATTTGAATGAATCTGGCAACATCCACAAAAATCTGCTGGGATCTTTATTGAATTGCAGTGAATCTATATGTCAGTGACTGGAGAATTCACATCTAAAAACATCCAGCCTTCCAAGCCACAAACATGATATATTCCTTTGTTTATTCAGGTTTTAAAACTCTCTCTCAGTAATGTTTTATATTATGAAGAGGCTGTAACACCTTTTACTATGATTATTCCAAGATATCTGTGTTTATTTCAGTCCTATTGTATACGGTATAGTGTTTCTCAATTTCATTTTCTAACTTGTGTTGCTTGTATGTGTGTTGTTATTGTTGGGTGCCGTTGAATCAATTCCGACTCATAGCGGCCGCATACGACAGAGTAGAACATCCCCATAGGGTTTTCTTTGCTGTAACCTTTACCAGAGCAGATTGCCAGGTCTTTCTACCACAGAGCCTCTGGGTGGGTTCGAACTGCCAACCTTTCGGTTAGTAGCTGAGCACTTAGTCGTTATGCCACCAGGGTCCTCTGCTTGTACACACATTTTATATTTATGTCCCGACTGTGAGCCCAATAATACTGTTATACAGTAAAACCTGGGAAAGCCGGAACCTGTGTAAGCCAGAGACCTGTCAGAGAAGGAAAACTGAAATCTTTGGCACTAACACAGAGCAACAGAAAAGTAGTTTAAGACTGCACCCTGTTAGAGGCAGAGAACTTGCGAGACCCAGAAAAACAAGGCAGTCCCCTCGAGTTCAGCTCTTGTAGGTTTCAGCGTAATCATCAAGGTCATAACATTTTATCTGATGATTCCTTTGCAGTTTTCTTATACGATCAATCATGTAGTCTATGAAAAATGACAATTTGGAATTCTCCTTCCCAGACTTTTAGCTTTTTGCTTCTTCCTTAATACCTACGGAGATTTTTAGTCTTCTGTACAGCAGGTGTGATGTTTTTGGTCAGGTGTTTGAAGGCATCCTTTATTGGAAGAATAAAATTCCCTACCATAATAATTTGCAAAGTTTTAGTATGAATGAGCACTGAATTTTTATCAAATATTCTTCCTACATCTAGTGAGATGATCAGTGCATTTTGTCCTTTATTCTACAAATGTGATGAATTAAAGGGCAAATAACACATCACCCTTAGGTTTGCTGTGAGGATTAAATGAGATTATATATACAATATGCCTCGCCCAAAGTAAAACAAAACACTTACTGTTGAGTGGACGCTGACTCACGGTGACCCCATGTGTATTAGAGTAGAACTATGCTCCATAGGGTTTTCAATGGCTGATTTTTTGGGAAACAGATTGCCAGGCCTTTCTTCCGAGGCACTTCTAGGTGGGTTAGAGCCTCCAGCCTTTCGGTCAGCCACCGAGAGCACACCTGTTTGCACCGCCCAGGGCCTGCTGTGAATGTGAAGATTCTTATGAGTCTTCTTGGAGATGGAGTCATGAAGAGTTCCCACAAGGCAGGGCGGAGACGGGACGCCAGAAGGAGGAGGAGAGCCGTTGAGCCTGAGCCGTGTAAGGCTTTGTGTTGTTTTAGGGCCACCTCTCAGTGTGCGTCTCCTCTGTGGCCAACAAAGGACGACCCTTTAGAAATGTTGCCAGTGTTCAGCTGGCAGTCCGAAAGCTGTGAGACAAGTATCTACTTGAAATTGGCAGTTAAAAAGGAATCGATCTCCGTCACGCTTTAAGTGATCCGGAGTTAGAAATAAACGCGTGGAATATCAGTGGTTTTCTCAATTATAGAAATTGTTATGGAAACAATAAGCAATAGGATTTTATAAATATGTATTAATAACTATCAGGGTACAGAGCATTACCCACGAGTCCCTGGGTATTGCAAACAGTTAGTGCGCTTGGCTCCTGACTGAAAGGTCGGAGGTTCGAGTCCACCCAGAGGTGCCTTGGAAGAAAGGCCCGGCGATCTACTTCTGAAAAAACAGCCACTGAAAACCCTGTGGAGCACAATTCTCCTCTGACACACATGGGGTTGCCATGACTTGGCATCAACTTGACGGCAACTGGGTTTTTTGGGGGGAGGGGTTTTAGTATTACCCAATTTCCTTTATAATGCATAAAATTATGCATCTGACCATAAAGAGATCAGTTCCAGAGGCAAAGAGTTGACCTTGATCGTGGCTCTAAAATTGATGCCCCCTCGATTTATGCTCAATGGCTTCGTCCCTGGGCCACCAAGTAGCACAGCTGGGAGAGATGAGCCGACCTAGCAGAGGTGACCTAGTGCCTAGTACTGGTCAGCTGTGGCTTGTTTTCCTACTTCAGTTGCCTGGCGGTCAGGGAGGAGCAGACTGTGGTAACGAGACCCATTTCCAGTCTCTGAGACGCTGTACGCCTGGGAGTGCTTCCTCACCTGGACCAGCATGGAGCCAGCATTTAATAAGTACACGTCCACGCTGGCTTGAGGATGTTCTTTGAGGTTGGCCAAACCCTTGGTTCCAAAGACAGAACTGACGAGAAATGTATTTGTAGAGGACACTATCCTGTGCAGTGAGAGTCCGCAATCGGCCACTGAAGGCCTCAGATAAAACCACTGTGACTATAGCGTTGCTGCTTACTTGGGGGGCAGAGATTCACTCTAAGCCTGCATTGATATGCCAGGGCTTTCTTCCTCTTCTTCTTCTTTTTTAGTAGCCCATGAATCTGCTCCAGTCCCTTGCTGTTTCTTCTTGTGTTCCCTCTCTAAATATTCACGCCAGAAATGTGAACCTAGTTTCCTTTGTCCTTTATTCTTTCACCCACTGATCCTTGAAGTGGATCTGACCATGACCGTTTCTTGGAAGTGGAAGCACTTGACAGCCCCCGTGTGCATTTTCTCTAAAAGCATGTGGAAACATATGTACCCTGGCATTTCATCTGGCTTTAGCTTCCTGAGGGCTTGTGCAGTTGACAGGTTAGGGATCAGTGTCCTGGGGTTGACGGCTGGTACTTCATCCCCTTTAGCCTTAGAGCCCTGGTGGCGCAGTGGTTAAGAGCTTGGCTGCTAACCAAAAAGGTTGGCAGTTCAAATCTACCAGCTGCTCCTTGGAAACCCTATGGGGCAGTTCTACTCTGTCCTATAGGGTCGCTGTGAGTCGGAATTGACTCGATGGCAATGGGTTTGGCTTTAGTTTGGTAGACTGCCTCATAACGCCAGCTTTTTCCTTTGTTTCGCAAATCCTCCAAAAGAAGTTTGGAATGAAAAAGGAAGGTCATGTAAAAACATCTAGATAGACTAATACTCACGACTCTACCAAGTACGTTAAGCCCTTTATGAAAATAATATTGTTGTTGTTAGGTGCCATTGGGCCAGTTCCAACTCACGGTATAACAGAGCAAAACACTGCCGGGTCCTACGCCATCCTCACAATCATTGCTATGTTTGAGCCCATTGTTGCAGCCACTGTGTCAGTTCATCTTGTTGAGGGTCTTCCTCTTTTTTGCTGACCCTCTACTTTACCAAGCATGATGCCCTTCTCCAGGGACTGGTCCCTTCTGATAACACGTCCAAAGTATGTGAGACGTAGTCTCGCCATCCTTACTTCTAAGGAGCACTCTCGTTGTACTTCTTCCTCCAAGACAGATTTGTTCTTCTGGCAGCCCATGGGATAGTCAATATTCTTCGCCAACACCAGTTAAAAGGCACCAGTTCTTCTTCAGTCTTCCTTATTTATGTCCAGCTTTCGCATGCGTACAACAGAACAAAACACTGCCTGGTCCTGCACCATCCTCAGAGTCTTTGTCATGCTTGAGCCCACTGTTGCAGCCACTGTGTCAGTCCGTCTCATTGAGGGTCTTCCTCTTTTTTGCTGACCCTCTACTTTACCAAGCATGATGCCCTTCTCCACGGACTGGTCCCTTCTGATAACATGTCCAAAGTACGTGAGACATAGTCTCGCCATCCTCGCTTCTAAGGAGCGTTCTGGCTGTACTTCTTCCAAGACAGATTTGTTCATTCTTTTGGCAGTCCATAATATATTCAACATTCTTCCCTAACGCCATAACTCAAAGGCATCAGTTCTTCTTCGGCCTTCCTTATTCATTGTCCAGCTTTTGCATGCATATGAGGCGATTGAAAACACCATGGCTTGGGTCAGGTGCACCTCAGTCCTCAAGG